CTTAATGATTGTTGCACTTGAACTCCATCTTGAAATTATTGACAACTCACAAGTGGGATCTAAAAATTATAAGCTTAGAAAGGATGTGAGGATAAAACTGTATTCCCCCAAGCAGACACTATATATGGATGGGGGCATGTTCTGAGATGGGGCATTGGATAATTTTGTTGTTGTGCAAATATCACAGAGTTATAAGAGACACACTTAGATGGTGTGATTGTTAGTGTTAACTGTCAATGTGACAGGATCTAGATGAGCCTCTGAGCATGCCTGTGGGGACTGCCTTGACTGTATTAACTGAGGTGGAAAGACCTGCCTACTGTGGCTGACATCATTCCCTGGGTGGGATTCTGGGAATACAATGGAGAAGGGGAAGTAAGCAGCTTGCATCTATCATTTGCTGCATTCTGATTGTGCAAGCTCTTGTCACCTGGAGTTCCCCCTGCACAATAGACTGTCCTTGAATTGTGAGCCAGAATCAAACCTTTCTCTCTTAATTTGCTTCTATCAGTCTTCTATCATGGCAACAGCAAAAGTGACTAAGACAGACAGCTGTAGCAACACAGACTATCCAGTTTTATGGGACCACCTTTATCTGTGAAGCCCAGAGTTGGAAATCTAAGCCCCATAACCCTGTCTGCAATGTGAGTCTTTGCAGATGTAAAGAAGTGAATTAAGGCATTCCAATGACTGATGTCTTTATAGTGATTGCAGGCAGATGCCCACAGTGGGGGAAGAAAGTCAGCAAAGATGAGGCAGAGGTTGGAGCAATACAGCTACAAGTGAAGAACACTAGAGACGAAGACTAGGAAATGAAGTATTCTCCCCTGGAACATCCAGAGGAAGCATAGTCTTATCACTGGCTCCCTAGATTTGGGGCTTCCAGCTTCCATGCCATAAGGGAATAGATTTCAATTGCTTTAAGGCTCTTGTCTGTGGTGTTTGTTAGGGAAGCTGAAGACACTAATTCAGAGGTAAGAGAACATCAACTATAGGGGACTGAGGGCTCAGAGAGGGGTAACACCTGCTTCTGGTCATCTGTGACACAAACGCACCTCACTGGACTCAGCAGCACCAAAATGCTCAGAAAAGGGAAAGACGCCTCTTTTCTAAAGTCACTCTAACTGAGACTAGACTTACATAACCGGGGCCCGAGTATCGATGGATCTGATTGGATAGATGGACCCGCCCCTTCATGGCATGGCCATGGAGACGTGACTTAGGACAAGTCTGTTTCCATCTTAAAATTAAATCAAATGACTGTATAATCTCCACAGGAAGGCATGGAAATCCAGTGAGGCAAAGTTGGTAAATTTCTGAGCTTGGCGAATAGGGACACAAGGCTCAACGATGAAATACTTTTCTAGTGTGGGTTTGATCTGACATTCCACACCAAACAAACAAACAACAAAAAACTTGTTTAGCATGACACTGTACATTGGATGCACAAGAAATAAAGATAGGTGTTCACATCCTCGGATGAATCCTTTTCCTAATATCCACAGGCTCCACAGCTCACCTGAAGGAATGAGGGCAGCTAGTAGAGCCGAATAACTAGGCAACAACTAGTCTGGTGTTCTTTCTTTATCATCTTTAACAGTGAGCCTATCAGCATCCCCAACCTGGTTTCCCCTCACCTGGCTGCCTTCCTTTTTCCAGCCTCACTTACTGTGAGCTTAATGTGGTTGGGGTGGGGAGAACCCCAGTGATACTCTTTTTTTAAAAAGCTCTTAAATTATATAGAGTCATATTCTATACTTTCAATTGCTGTGCTAAGAGGTTGATTGATAACCCAGCGCATGTGCCGAAGTACTTTGTTAAATGTTTATATTGGAAGGTTTATATATAAAGAGAGTTTGCCAGTTGTTTCACCTGTATCAACACAGACAACAGAAATCTTCCAACAGAAATCCCCCAAAGCCTTTTTTGAGACACTGTAAAGCATATAGCTGTGGACCTTTGCTATCTTCACTTGGGTATACGGTGTGAGCATGAAGGTATATTTTAATAATGTAGATTGCTATAATTATAATCACTTTTGAACACTCTTATTATTATTAATAAGAGCAAATTGCATGGTTCCAGCGCATGCTGGTCTCCTGTTAGATAGGCGTCACATAATGGTATCAGTGTGTAACCCCGACTCTCATCTCCATGCCAACGAGGGCCTGCCTGCCAGTACAGGGCTCTGAGGCTCTGTCGGGTTGCTGGATAGCCTGTGACTCCTCACAGAGTCAGTAAGCAGGACAATGGATCCCAGCTCTTAATGAAAGCACACAGGGGGAATCACACTTCCAATGGCTGGCCTTCCCATAGGCTAGCAGGACACTGGTGAGCTTTGGTTTACATCAGACGCCTGTGTCCAGCATCTTGCCACTTAAGTACTTTCCTGCATCCAACTATTCCTTAAGATAGTCCTGAAGCATGGCCTTAAAGGGGAGGAGAAAGGGTGATCAGGGTATGGAAAAGACTCTAGGTACAGTCAGACATGCAGTCCCTAACTCCCCAGAACTGGTCAGGAACCACTGTCTAGTAAGGGCACATTGTAGCGCAAACCAAGGAAAAGCAGAGCAGAAACATGCTAGCTTCTTCAGACTAATGACCTGGGGGCTCCATTCCCCACCCTCCCTCTTTCTTACCCCATTGCTCTAGTAAATCATTCAATGTTTCCAAACCTCACACCTGCCACTCTCAAGGCACACAGCAATGCTAGCACAAAAGCTGGGGCTTGTGGTGAATATGTGTACCAAACACCAGTCAGAGAGAGGAGGCCAGCTTAATCCCACCAAGAGCCTATCTCAAAAATTAAGGTGGACAGCCCCCTGAGGAATAACACCTAAGCTTATGACTTCCACAGGCAGGCACACACATGCACATACATGCACATACCACAAACGAGCATACATACCCCTACAGACACCCCCACAAACACACACACACACACACACACAAGTCAGTTAGGATATAAGGGGGTGGTTGTAAGAGAGAACAAAACACATCTGTCAAGGTGTTCATCACACATGGAGGCTGATGACACTATGGTTATTAACATCTGAAGAAGTCTTGTTAATTTATTGCTTCCCTCTCTTTCTCTAAGCAATTTTACTTGAGGTTTCAGAGAACAAAAAGGAAATACATGGATGATCCTGTGCCCACTACTACAGCAGGAACTGTCTTTGGGGTTCAGAGGTCACCTCCCTACTGTTTTCCCTAGTCACCTGCAAACCACTGCAGGTACCAGAGACACTAGAGAGCAGACTGCAAACCAGGTCACCAACACCTAGCGTTTACAATGGAAGCATCTGATACACAGATTTTGCCATGAAGCAGTTCGTCCCTTCATCATGCCAGGGCAACAAGACAGAATAGTTCACCCCTGTGGAATGAGATGCAGAAATGACACTTGTTTGTCACAAGCCAGCCTTCCTTAGAAGCATGCTATAGTCTAGCTGAGAAATAACTTCAGAGGAACTACTTCCTTGGCTGTGCTAAGGATACAAACCTGGGTGCGCGTTACATCCTGGCTAATTAAATTAATTAAACTTCATCACTGAGTTTAAAGTAAAGGTCATTGAATTATCAACAAAGGCAAGCAAAGGAGAGCTTTGTGAGATAGGTCGTCTCCTCCTCTTTAAAGTTTATTTTTCTGGTTCTCTTTTCCTCAGCCCTGGAACTCCGAGCTAGAGCTTTCGTTCTTAAAGGTAGAAGTTTCCCACATGAGGACTCAGTCAGAGCCTGTGTATAAAAGAAAGAGGCAGGTCCCTCCTGTTCTGTGCAGTCCTGCCAAAGGCAATTCACAGAATTCCCTCCACCCTGAGATCAGGCTCACGTGGTGGTCTGACTGCTCAGGGGACCCAAAGCCTCCTCAGCTGACACAGCCCCCCCTTCAGTCTGCCCTGCAGCCACTTCTGGACTGGGCACACAAGGACCCTGTAGAGCAACCGCAACTAACGTTTTGAGTAAAACACTCTTGAGGGTCTAAACAACTACAGAAGTTATTCTGCAGTTTCTCTTTTTAAAAATTAGCATGGCGCATCTTCTTAAAGTCTTGAATAATTTAATTAGAATTATACAAAAGTCATGAGCATGTTCTATTTATGGGCAATCACATCAGCATGAAAAACCCCAACGACAACGTTAAAAATAAAGTGTCTTCATACGGTGCATTCAACTCATGAGACAACTTGAATTCGAATTGGAGAGGGTCGGATCACTTCTGGGAGGCTTTTGTTTCCCTTGCCGGATTTCTTGCTTTGGGAGCCCTTGTTCCCTCGACACACGAAGTGTTAAATGAACATCGGCACAAGGCAGAGAAGAAAGCTGTTTGGACTGCGTTTGTTTTATCTTCGCCTCGCTACGCGCCCGGTGTTCCCCAGCCTCTAATGGCATTCACATTCTCCAACCCCCGCAGGATGCATGCCTTGGCGGGTGCATGGATCCCAGAGGCTGGGCAGCCGGACAGCTATGAGGAAGCCAGCAAACAAACTCCGAGGAAGGAAGGCGGCTCTGCCGAGCAAAGAGACACTTTGGAACCCGGTGTCTTTTAGCTGAGCTCATGGAGAAATCTCTTTTAAAGGGTACTGCGCCTTGGATGCGGTCCAAGAGTCTTTTTAGCAATGAGACAGCACAGAGAGCCGTATCAACGCCAGTGATTTCCCTGCACCTAACAGCACCTTTTGCCAAGACCCCACCCACCCACCCACTCTGTAGGTACCGCTCTGGCTGGAAGGAGGCGTCTTTCCTGGGGAGGAAGCATGTTACAGGTCCCTTCAGCTGTCAAGCTCCACGGGGTGGGGGAGAGCCATCAAGTTCTGAAACATTTGCTCACACCCCCCTAAGCTGTGCCAGGGTAGAGGCTGCGCTCCCTAGCGCGCGGCTCCCCGCTTTACCCAACACATGCAGCTCCCTGACCCTTCTCCTTCCCTGGGAAAGCTACTGACTTAGGGGCGACGTTAAATCGCGCGGAGTCAATTCCCAGAAACCACTGCCCCCAACACTACCTTCTGCGGAGGGGTCCCGATCAGCATCTCCAGGTAGTAGCCGCGGCCAGAGTCTCCCTGAAGGTTGTCCACCATAGCCAAGAAGTTGGCGGTAGCCCTGGCAGGCTCCAGTGCGAGGGCCAGGCCATCGGCCCGGGGCAACTCTGGGGTCCCCAGCCCGGGAACAGCCGAGGCTCTGTGGTTCGTGGCCCCGGCCACTTGGAGGGGCAGCGTGAAGGGCGCGGGGGCCAGCGCAGGGACCGCGCTCAAGAGCCACTGCGCCAGCAGCGGGAGCAAGAGTGCTCGAAGCAGCGCGCCCATCCCCGCGGCGGGGGCTCGGCGAGTCTGCGAACGCGCGGTTCTGCGGTCCTTAGCCGGCCGGGGCGGAGCGGACGGGGAGGAGGCTGGAGAAGGCGGTGCGGAGTTGAGCAAGTTCTCAGCCGCTGCCCCCTCTGGCGGCCGCCGCCCCGCAGGCCCTGCCCCTCCTCCGTGGCCAAGGTCAAGGATGGGCGCGGGTCGCGCCTCTTCCCGGGGAAACTGGAGTGCAAAATTTCCCCGGAACGTGCCCGGGAGGCCACGACTAACGGATATGACGAGGCTCAACCTAGAGCTGCTGGAAAGTTTCGGGAACCCTTAAAGGGGCAGCTAAAGCGCAAACTGGCTTCCTGGACCTGCGCTCAAGGAGTCCGCAGGGGTCCACTGTCCCTGTAGAGGCAGAACTGCCCGGATGACTCAAGGGTCAGAGCTCGGGGCAGGCAACTGTGAAAGAGCGCGCCCTTCCACTTGCCAAGAGCATATCCAACCGGGTCTGGATGCCTCTCGGAGTTTCTCCCACGCGAGGATCTCCCTTTCCAGCTCCTTTGGAGTTAGCTGGTTCTCTGAGAAAGGATTTGAAGTATGGATGAAGGCTGGGGTCACGCTGGGAGCGCTGGGAGCGCCAGGGCTAGGGGAGGCAAGTGAGGGGATTTTGAATTTCTGAGAAGGGATCTGGGCTGCTTACACTCCCCAGAACCCAAAACCACAAGGCTGAGGAGGTAGCTTTGGGCCTGGTCTTCCTGGTCCTCCTCTTCTCCTTAACGCAGATTCAATTCTGCTAGCTCAGTCTCCCAGGAATCCCGTTAGTCTACTCAGTTAGTGAATTACTATCAGGGTCCCAAATGAGGCTGCCATCCAGCCCTCCCCTTCTTTCATCCGCCCGCCAGCTCTCCAGATTATCTAATTAATACTTGTTTAGCCAGACACCGAAGCCGCAGAAACGCATTCAGAGGGCTATTTTATTTCAGGTACTGAACGCAGGGGGGACAATTACACCACTAAACTCATCGATTTCTGCTGAATCAAGGAATAGAAGAAATCTCTGTGTCTCCTCCAGCTGAATTATGTTGGCTTTTTTAAAAAAAAAAAAACAAACAAGACCATCTCCAAACAATGGAAAGTAGAACTCATGCTTCCCTCATCCTTGACTGGAACTTCCAGATATAAGTGTCTGTGTTTATTCCCAATGTCAGAATCCTATGCTGCTCTACCGGGGACCTTTCTGTCCAAGATCTCCAGCTATGCTACTTTCTAAAAGATGCTGGTTATAAGTTGCATTTTTCCCCCTCTGAACTCTATCCAAGATCCAAGGAATCCACAGTCACACGAAAGGCAAGCCTGACTGAATCCCGGGATAGAACCTACATTGTTATTCCCCATAAATCTGCATAGTTATCGAGAGCTCTTACATTCATATATTCACATTTAAATTCAAGATTGTAAGGAAATGGGCAATTTAAAAGAGATGGTTATTTACAAATCCTTGTGTCCAGTCTTGAGGGGTTGGGGACCACCCAGACAGCTCTCAGATTGACAGTATCCGTTTGGAAGCACATGGGATTTATCAAGGACATTGACTCAGGTGGTGCTACATGATGTATAAGGTATAAGGTCAATATTAAAGACATTTGCTCTCTCTAGGAGTTAAAGAAACACAAGGGAAATCTGTAAAACTCAAGTCTAATTAATGTTTGTATTTGAAACTCTCTAGCTCATGTAGCGTGAATATTCCAAGCTTTTACTGGTAAAAGGGAGGTATATAGACAGCTGCATAAAGACAGGTTCAAGGGCATACACCGTTTTAATGAGTGGTAGGACCATCTTGCCAAAAAGCACTGTCCAGGCCGTGAGGAGGTAGCACTGGACAGCTTGCCTTTCTTCTGTGTGGCCTTAGCATTCTCCAGCCTCATTGCTTGTAGACCTCCTGACTGACATGGGCTTCCTCACTGGCATCCCCTGGAGATAGCCAGCGAGCTCTTTTCACACCACAACCTATCCAACTTCTGGTTCCAGGACCCAGTTACACTCTTACAAACGACTGAGGGCCTCAGGATGTTGTTCTGGATTTAACAAACTATGACTTCAAAATGAGAAACGTTAACAATTAAAATAAAAACACACCTGGACCCAATTGGTAAAGTGCTTACTGTGCGAACATGAGCACCTGAGTTTAATCCAAGCGCCCACTTATACATCCAGGCATGGCAGCACTTCCCTGTAATCCCAGCAACCTGGAAGGCAGAGAGAGGCAATCCCTGGGGCTCACTAGCCAGCCAGTCTAGTCTAATTGGCAAGTTCCAGGTCCCATTGAGAGTCCTGTCTCAAATAATAAAAAGAAAAGTGGGCATCTCCTATGGTGGTTTGAATGAGGCTGGCCCCCTAGGGTCATATGTTTTCAAGTTGTTTGGTAGGGTTAGGAGGTGTAGTCTTGTTGGATGAGGGTTGTCACTGACTTTGAGGTTTCAAAAGCCCACTCTAGCCCCACCCCTTTGCATGATGCTTTAGGATCAGATGTAAGCTCCCAGCTATTGCATTCAAGCCATACATATAGTGCTTCCCGCCATACATGTGATGGTAATCATGAACTAACTCTCAAACTGTAGGCAAGCCCTTAATGCTTTATCTTACAAGTTCCCTCATCATAGGTTGATTCCTGGCTTCCACAAGTACATGCACATACCCAATGAATTTACTTGCACACACACAAAATAAATGAAATAACAGTGACCAACTTTCTCCCCCTTTTGTGTGTGTGTGAGATATATAGGCATGTTTTCATGTACAGGCCCTGTGTACATACATGTGCAGGTCCCAGGTTGATGTTGGGAACCATCTTCTATTGATTACTATACCTTATTCATTGAGGCAGGCTCTCTCAATCAAGCTCAGAGTTCAACTATATGATTAGTCTAGCTAGCCAGCATGCTCTGGGAATGCCCAGTCTCTACCTCAAAAGGCTAGAATTTCGAGGAGCTTCCAAGCTTACCCACTCTTCTACCCTTGCATGGCAAGTACTTTAACCACTGCACTGTCTCCCTGGGGTGGGGTGGGAGTTACTGCAATGAGTAACATTACACATGTAAATTTTCTTTTAATATCTGGATTAATAACAGACAGCTAGATCCTTCCAACTATGTCTGCATTTAGTCTGTCTGCCTCTTACATATCCAAAAGCTCCTTGAAGTCCGGGGTTGTAAAAGGGATACTTCAGTGTTTGCATGAAACAGCTTTGACTAAAAGCCCCGAAGCTTCTGAGACCATCCATCCTCTACTGAGTCTTGTGTCATCGACCACAAAACAAAACCGACCCAACCCTGAATATCAAACACTTCATCCACAGCTGGAGGAAACTGCTAAACAGGACCTAGACATTTTGAATCTGCAACCTGGACCAAGGGGCACCATTCTTTTCTATCATGGAGGCTCCAGAGCGCTGCAAATGGGCCCAGCCACCTGCACTCACTTGAAACTTTCTCACTCTTATCCTGTCTCCTAATTTTCCAGCCATAGTTCTTTGTGTGTATTTGTGAATTTGTGTGGACATGTTCATATATGTCTGCATGTGTGAGAAGGGCAGAAGTCAGTGCCAGACATCTTCTTCAATTTCTCTCCACCTCATATTTTTTGAGACAGAGTTTTCTCAATGAACTTAGAACTTGATGGGAAGGTCAGGAAGGCCCAAGGATCCTCCTGCCTCCACCTCCCCAGTGATAGATTGTAAGCGTGGGCTGACTTTTTAAGTGGGTGCTGGGAATAGAACTCAGGTCTTCTTGCTTGTAAGATAAGCTCTTTACCAAATGAGTTTCTCCCCCATCCTTATACCTCTGTCTTATTAACTTTATCTTCTTTCACTCACTGTTCATCTCACAGTGTCCACCTGCTGAAATCCTGTGTGTTTCTCTAGATAGTGTCAACCTGTATTCTCTCATGACACTCCTGGAAAGCACCCCACACTGGTGACAGTGCCCTTCCTTGTGACTTTATGTTTATCAGAATCACCAGGGGATTTTCCTTCACCTCTTAACCAGACAATTCCATTCAGATGGTCTGGGGATGGTATCCATCACTTTCAGAATTAAACAAAACAAAACAACAACAACTACAACTGGTTGAAAGGAAGATTTAAACCTGGAAGAAATGAGATGCAAATGTCAACTGAAGTCTTGGATAGATTCCAAATTCTAGTATATAGTCCCAAACAGAGTCTTCTATTCTGAAAAAATAAAACCAAAATGGAGATGACCACACCTCTGCTGGGGAAGGTACATGAGTGTAATGCAGATTTCTCTCCTTATGGCAAGACCTGTGGTGTTAAGTCCCCTGGTTGGAAAGACCTGTGTGGGATATTCACACAGAATCTTCTGGCCTTTCCTGAGGGAATGCTTGGTTCACATTTGCCTTGCATTACTATTGGAAGTCTTTACTTTCACTTCATCTGTGACAGATGTTTCCCCAGAATCAGAAAAACAAAGCTTGGACTATGATTTATTCTTGTTTATCTCTGAGGATTGTGGGAGTGAAATAGATCACCACTCCTCTGTTAATGAGGGTGATGTGGTTGAGTCAACACAAGGCCCCGTTCTGGGCACATCAGCTAGTGTCCAGATGTTCTTTTCCAATGGGAACTTAGTTCTAACAACAATTTGCCCACCAACCTGTTCCAAACACGTTAGTAGATTATCAAAAGGTTAGAAAGGTCTTGCTGGATTGTTGGTTCCAAGACCTAATGAGAACATTCAGAGGTGAGACAAGCAAGTACGAGGAACTAACTCAGGTTACTAATTTGTTAAAAGCCCTGGGAATTTAAAGAATTAGATCTCCTGATCAGAAGAATAAGGGGAGATGCTAGAGGCCAATAATTAAATCAGAATTTCTAAGATATGTAGTCTATCCCCTCTCTAGACTGTAACAGCAATTGCTGCCAACCATGGTCACTTGGTAATATACTGATGTGCTGGGTTAAATATTAACTGCTTGCTGAAGCTATGTTTTATCTTTCTTAATAC